CAGGTCGCACTGCTCCCTTGAATATCTATGCTGGTTGGCGGTTTTAACCACTTTGAAAAATATGAAAGTCAATGGGAAGGATTATCGCATATAATTCCAAATCACCAAACAATGGTCCATATGGTCAATATATGGTGGGTGGTTTGGTTCAGCAACCAGTTTATTTTTATTCCCAATATATGGAAAATAAAAAAATCGTCCAAACCACCAACCAGTATGGGATTCCGAAACACCGAGCCTACCAACCATTGACCATTGTTTGAAACTTGCAGTGGTTCCAAATCTTCAAAGATGCCAAAAAAAAACGAAACCCATTAAAACATCATTAAAAAAAAATCCGTATAGATCAAACAACTTTTCAAACCATTCAAGATCAATCCAAATAGCTACACACAGGATGGTGCCCCCAAGTGATGTTTGTTGGTTTATAAACCCCATTAACTAGTTCGTTATATCTGCCATAAACCATAGTGAAATGGGAGTTATGTGAACCCCAACTTAGCGATTTGCCTCACTGGGGCACCACCATATTTTTTCCAAGTATGTTCAAGTGAATGGGGGATACCTATAAATGGATATACTATATACTATATGGATAAACCATAGTATGTGCACCCCATATTAGCTAACTATGGAAAATCACCATGTTTAATGGGTAAATCCACTATTTCTATGGCCATGTTCAATAGCTATGTTAGTTTACCAGAGGGTAACATTTTTTTCGTGGAAACTATGGAAAATCACCATTTTTGATTAGTAAATCCACGATTTCTATGGCCATGTTCAATAGCTATGTTAGTTTACCAGAGGGTAAATCACACCACGATTTCTATGGCCATGTTCAATAGCTACAAGGTGGTGCCCCCCAGTTATAACTTCGTTTATAATCCCATTAACTATAAATATATCACCTATAAACCATAGTTATTGAAGTTATAAACCAAGTTAGCTATCTAGGGGGCCCTTCAATAGCTTTTTGTATGTTCACTTTGTGGAGAAACCGGCGAGCGCTCCTGCCGTTGATAATCCTGCGTCATGGCGCGGATCGAAGCATAGGACCTGATAGGATCTTTCTTCGAAAGGAAGTGATGGAAGGTTCAAGCCGAAAAATACCTTGGTTGATGGGTTCTTATAGGGAATTTTATGGGTTTATCACCAATCAACCAGTTATACCTGGCTTTAAATAATGGGTTTATAACCCATCAACCAGTTGTACCTGGCTTTAAATAATGGGTTTATAACCCATCAACCAGTTATACCTGGCTTTAAATAATGGGTTTATAACCAATCAACCAGTCATACCGTTATACCCGGGTTTATTATTACTATATTACTAACTAATAATTACCAATCACTATTGTTATATACTACCCGGGTTTAACGAGACTTATGAACTAACCCAGGGAAAGCGGGACGTAAAACCATGGTGGAGAAACATCGGAGAATCATCCCATTCCTGGTTGAAAAATGCTTGAAGATAAACATGTTTGGTGTACCCTCTGGTTGTGTCAAAATAGCTATGGAAAATGACCATTAATAGTGGATTTTCCCATTGAAAATAGTGATTTCCATAGTTATGTTAGTTTACCAGAGGGTAAACATGTTTGGTGTACCCCAAAATCCATGGTGTATCATTTTCCTTCTGAAAATGACCAGTTTGACTAGTTCGGGATATCCCCAATTCTTGGACATACCCACAGATCATCAACTGGCTGGTGGTGCAATAACCATCTTGAAAAATGATGGACTTCGTCAATGGGAAGGATTATTCCCAACTGAATGGAAAGTCATAAAATTCATGGTTGAAACCAAAAATCAGTTGAAATAGTTGAAGCCACCAACCACAGAAGATGATTACACCCCCCATGGAGAATCCTGGCTTTTGATGCCATGTCCCATCTCCAAGTTTTGATGCTCCTCTGTGTGCACACTCTCCACATTTCATGGTAGTGTTAAGTCCATCAGCCATCACAGTTAATCAATTTCATCAACGGATCATAACAGCCAGTGTATCTAGCCATTCTCTAGGTCTAGTAGTTAAGTTTGAATTTTCTTCAACAGTTCCATTCGATTCGCTTGTAAAAAGCAGCTACTTTGCACCACATCGCCCGGAACCCTGCTAAGCAGCACGTCAAAAAAGGACATGAGGAGACCTCTATTTTGCGAAATTTCTGCAAATGGGCCTTCCCTTAAAAAATCCAGATCTAACGTCTTCATGGTCATTGCTTGGGTCGGAAGGGACATTTTGCACGCCAGGATTTTACTCTCAAATATTCTCAAATATACTGTAAGGGGGTTCCTGCCATTTTTCCACCAATTTTGGGAGTTGCTCTGCATCAGTTTCATCAAGATGGTGAAACTTGTCCTTGACGCACTATCTGGAAATGTCAGACACAGGTGTGTTTGAAGCCCCTGCCCAGCCGGCCAACCTAGCCATCGCTTTGATCCATCCTAAACATTCGTAAAGTGTGACCAGAAATTGTGGACCCAGCAAGGGAAGCAAACAGGATGAGAACATGTGAACATGTGGGTATGGGTCAATACCTATACATACCATTTTTAGTGGGATGAACATCCATAAATCCCAGCTATTTTGATGTTCACCAGGGGTACCAGGGTTTTGACCCATCCCCATGTGGGAAACCAGCACTTATTTGTTTTGCAGGGGGGGTTATACTGCCAATCATTGATCATGAAGAATTCTGCCATGCCACATCTACACAATCTACACCGCAAAAACGTTTTTTTTGGATAATAGAATGAACCATGCTTAACCAACATCGCGGCAAAACCATCAACAGCAAACAAACACATAGGTAAAGACAGCTAGATATCAACGAATAAGCACAATAAATGCAGATAGATGGATAGATTCCCTTGGGTAATCAACAGATTGGCAATGGAAAATCTATGGAAAAAAAACAAACTATCATTTCGAGATGATGTTCCCACTAAACCCTCCATTTCGTTTGATGAGCTGGCGGCATGGCCTCCGTTGTCCCAGGTGGCTTCGGTCTTGGCTTGGCGCGCCTGTGGGAAACCCTGGCACAACTACCATGACTGGGGATGGCTTGTAGATGTTTATAGTTTTTAATCCCTTCAACCTAATATTAACAGATATTAAACGTCTGGTCCCCCCCACTCCCCCCGAAATAATACGACCTAGGGATTTAATTCTTATAAGGGGGTATTTAAGATTCGGGTGAGAGGCTGGCCCATAATATTAAATTCAAAAATTCATAAAACTAAAATGTATCCCCGTTGACATTTCCCGGGAGACCTTGTGCAAGCTACTTGTAGGTATGAACCTGGGGCCCCCCATTTTGAACCTACAAAAAGCCATTCACATGACCTAAAAACCACCTACAAAATGCAAACCCTCCCATCCATATGTGCCAAGATACGCTCACTACAAAATGCAATCTCGAAAAAATGGATTGCCATTTTGCGAATGTATTTCTGACAACAAGATTTCGCTACACGCATTTTGTAGCAGAATTCACTTGTCAATTGTTTTGGGACTCTTGAAAAGTCAATGTGCATTTTGTAGCTTGGCTGTGTTTGGTCGGCTTTCCTTTTTTTCTCACAGCTCTGTGACGCAAATGTCCCACAGTCACAAGCCAGAACTATAGCTCTTTGCTGTCTAGCTCATACGGGTGACTGAACCTCTCCCTTTGTTTCAGACAAAGCTGGCACAGTTTGAACGCTGTAAAATTCACATCCTTGTGCTGGCAAGTTCTGTACAAATGGTAGCTGCGGCCAGCTCGAGTCAAATATATTTCATCAGGAAGCTTCGCTTTGCAAATCTCTTTGACATTTTCATTCTTGAGGCTGACCTTGCTGAAGCACAAACACACCATTGCCGTCAGGAATGATCCCAAAGCTGCGCCCAGCAAAAACGTGAAGAAAAGCACCAACATGAAGTCTTCCATGGCGAACAGAGATGAGATTCTAAGCGGTTCCTGCACGTTCAATTTGAACAAACAATTTCTGAGGCAGGCGCTCACTCTGACAATTTGATTTCACCCAAATTTTATATGCCCATCTTGTTTCAAACAAAAAGTTCACCCAGGAGCACCCTGGATTCCAACAGAGGCAGCCACTGAATCAAAATGAAAATGAAAATTTGTCACAGTATGCTCCTACAAAATCAACTGTTCAAACTTAGATATCTACAAAATGAAATGCATGACGCTCACACATCTCAGCACTCTTTCACCCGTCCGCCTGTGGCGTCCCACAGCCTCTTCCTCCCTCATGCCATTATTTGGCTTGTTCTATTCTCAACAATTTTTCACATGTTGAGAGAGCATAGTTGTTCTATGCTAAATCATGCTGATTGTTTTTTCACTCAGCTATTGCAAAGCAAAATTCCAGTGTTCAAATTAATGATAACCATTTCGAAATGGAGTAACCGTGCACCTTATCCAAATACAAAGTTTTGTCTGCTTTAAGATGACTACAAAATGTCAGAACACCTGGAAGTACCTACAAAATGAACGGCTTGTGGACACGGCAGTGTGGACACGGCAGCAAAACATCCAATCCCTTGAAACAGCAACAGCATTCCAGAACTACAATGCTTTCAAACCATGTGACTGGATACGTTGCCACAGATGGTCCAGACGGTTCCCCTACCTAAATCTCAAATTAATGTTGCAAAGATCATAGCCTTGGGCTGCTGATCCTTCGCATTGACACTGTCAGTCAAGCAGAAACAAAGTCTGCAGACACTGTCACGAGCAGCAGCAGGCTAAAACGAGTCAATAGCTCTGAGCCAGCCATTCTGTAGAGAAAAATGGAAATCAATGAAAATCATCTACGTGCAGTTTGGTTCTTTTTTGATTCTGAATTTATAGTAAGGATCAGCAAGGATCAGTAAGGTGTGTTTTTATGTGTTTTTGGTGATGGTGTTTGAAGTCACATCATGTGCGCTGGCTCTGAAGAGGAACACGGGCTACACATCAGCAGGCCTCGGCAGCCTCCATGAACTTGTCGTCTCACTTGTCATCGGTCTGGTGCTCATCTTTGGATTTGCTTGGATTGGACGAGGCAATTGCAGCATAATCCAAGATATCCTTGATCAGTCGCAGCCACCCTTTGCGAAAAGGATCCTTTGCCTGCAACTTCTTCTTGATCGCAGAAATGTGTTTGAAAACAACCTTGCCATATGCCTCTGCAGCACGAGGGTGGCGATACCTGAGGCTTGCAGAAAATGTCGCAAGCAAAAAGCTCAGGAAAGTCTACCCCATTGTATCCTACAGAAGGATGGGTAACCAGGTAAATCCTACAAAAAGGTATGCTTCAGTTTTATTTGTTTACTAGAACCATGAAGATAATATGTATCCTACAGAAGGATGGGTAACCAGGTAAATCCTACAAAAAGGTATGCTTCAGTTTTATTTGTTTACTAGAACCATGAAGATAATATGTCGAATGATCCAAAAAAAAATGACACTAGAGCAGGGTGGATCACCATGTAAATTCTACATCAGGAAATGCAGAAGAAGGTGCATGTGTTCAATGGCTGGGCCTGCATTTCTCAAGACATCATCCCAGGTGAATTTCTCGGCTCCCTGGAACTTGAGTCTGCAACTTCCCTGTGGTGAGAATGCTGGGGACTTTGGAAAAGCATTGCGATCCAGCTCATTCAACTCCACAATCTGGGCTCTGATCGCTTCACGACCTTGAACTGTACGGCGGAAGGTTGCTTCAGACACCTCCTCTGTGTCTAAATGAACTGGATCACTCTTTTTCTTCTCGCTTTTCTTGGAGGTCTGCATGGCTCTTCTGCGCCTCTTCTTCTTGTTTGGCTGGGTCAATGCTCTTCGCGCCTTCTGAGCCCTCTGCGCCATTGCCTTCTTCAGGGATCGTCCTTTTGCTCCCCGAGTCATCGTCGGGGCCACCTTCCATTGCTTCATTTCCGGTATCCTGCCCAGGACTTCCGCACTTTCAGGAGTCAGAATCACCTTGACTTCTCCGGATCCATCAAGCGGCTGGTGACCTCATTGAAGAAAGGCACTGTTGCAATTCAACAAAAAAGAATCGAAAATACTCAGCAAGAATCCCAAAAGATACAACAGGATGTGCAAAGCTGCATATCCTACAAAATGATGTGCCTCTCTAAATTGACATTTAACTATCATTACCATTCTCATATCTCGGGAAATGGCAATACCGCTTACTACAGAATGATATGCGCTGATTTGTCTAACAACAAGATGATATTCATCTGGAATCAGCAGAACCCATCAACATAGCAAATGCATACAAATGCATCCACAGATGCATACACATGCATACGAATGCGCATACTGCTGCCAAAATACACTCTTCCACATCCAAAATGCACACCAATGCTTCCATCCGAACAGTCCAAGCTGTCGAGGTAGCACTGCAAAACCATTCTCTGGTGCGATCCTGAGGAGCAGAAGCAATTTTATATTTTCTGAATTATTCTCATTGACCTTCTCAAGTCATTGATCCACTCCAAGCATCTTACATCACCTTTAAGAATCAAAAAAATGTTGCAAGTTTGTACCCTGCCCAAGAATGCTGATGTGCTAAATAGTGCAGTCTAGAAGCCACATGATCTCCATCCATATCCAGGGACACTACCCTGAAGGCCATGCAGCTCGCGCATGGCGTTGCTCTGGTGTTGATCTTTGGTTGCTTGACACCGCGCCACACCGTGATCACCAAACCCATTTCCACTCCAGGATTTGGGTTGCCGTCTGGCAAGTGGAACAAAACCACATTTCCAGGCCTTGGTGAATCAGTGTGACTAGGGTGTCTGGCTTAACAAAAAAGCCCACAAACGCAAAACCACAGGCACAAACACACACACACAACACTTACATCCAAATACAAAATGCTATGACGCCAGCAATATCGCTACAAAATGCAATGTGCCCAATCTCTATGGACATGCAAATCACAAAATTGATGCCAAAGCAGCATGATGCGCTCTGGCACCCCAGGGGCGACTTGCAAGTCTTGATTTGCCCGTGTCACCAGCTCGGACCACTTTGCCAAACGCGTCGTGCGGCTTCGATACTCGGCTGTCTCTTTTTCTCGATTCATTTCTGCTATGCGCATTTCATTGTACCTGAACAGGGCCAACATGTTTGTAGAGTTCAAGAACCAACAACATTATGACAAATACCAGGCTTATATATTGAGTAAACTAAGAAAATCTCAAAAGACAGTGAAAACATATTTGAATGGACATAACTGGTTTGGGAATGTTTTGGATCTGGGCATATGCTTAAGCATGTCCATTTTGTGTATTTCTGTTTTGTCTACAAAGGACCCTGCACAGAGGAAAGTCTACAAAATGATGTGCTTCAAATATTTCGACCAAATACTGGTGCCAATTCAACTTTGAGCTCGCACGACGTACGTGGCGAGCATTGGAAATCCATCTGCAATCACATCCACCTGGAGCAGATCTGAGCTTGACAGCATATCGAAAGAGTGAGTTCCATTTGCATCCGCCAGAGGTCATCGCTTCCAGAAGATTGCCAGGCATGAACTCAGTTTTCTGATCTGTCTCATCAACTTCTTCCGGCTCACGAAGTAGTTCCTTCATCTCATCTGCGTCTGCCATTTGATCAATCTCCGGATCATCAAAGGCAGAACGGTCAACAACTGAGGCATCTTCCTCGGGGTCCACCAGAACAGACTCCCTTTGAAGAGAGCCCAGCAGCTTGAAAGCTGGATCTTCTTGGTTGTCATCTTGCACAAAGCAGCCTTCCAAGAATTCATCTGCATCGTCAGGAGAAATTTCCTCAAAACCAAAGGCATTTTCTGGATCACGTTGGCAAAGCTTCCGATATTTGGATTCGAGCTCTTTCTCCGTCAATTCCGATGCAAAGGAAACCAACTTCAAAGCTCCCTCAAACGCACGCTCGCAGCATTTCCTGAACCTGAGTCAATTGAGTTCAGTTCACATTCTCCACAAAGCAGTCCTACAAAATGACAAGTACCAAAGAATTGCCTACAATAAGCCTGGCCAATCATGAATCGCTACTTCAGTTCACATTCTCCACAAAGCAGTCCTACAAAATGACAAGTACCAGAGAATTGCCTACAATAAGCCTGGCCAATCATGAATCGCTACCTAACAAGTATAAACCTTTATAAACATTCATAAGCTCCATCTAATCCAAGCAAAGACTGCAAAGCCAATCCTGTCAAGACACTCATCTTCAGTGAGTGACTTTTCAGGCTTCCGTTCCATGGGCTTTTCATTGTTCAAGAGCTTCCCATGTTTCATCATTGTTCGTGCTCCTGCAGCAAAGTATCCCCTTGCGGAGAGCTGCGAGCTCGAACTCTGTCGACGGAGAAGAGAGAACCACTCCTCTACCGGTAACTCTGACAAGCGGCAAGTTCCTTGCTTCCATGGGTGCCAATTGGCATCCTTGCACAAAGTCAGGACTGTGGCTGATAGGGCCACACCCTGTATGTTGAAGCAGGTTTGCCCTGACATAAACAGGCTTCCCCGAGGTACGGCCAATTCCTCAGCCTTCTCTTCAGCCACCATCCTGAACAAATCCAAGGAAAGGAAACCGGCAAGCCCGGCTTCTGCCCGATCTTGAAGCGTCATGTTGCGATGGAGTAGAGAACTGACGCACATTGCAACCTCGGGTGCGGGCTGCGTGTTTTCATGCAGCTCGCCTAAAGAGCCTCCTTTCCTTGATCCTTTGTGTGAAGGGAGCGCTACAGAATGCAATGTCACAGTTCTGAATGACACTTCTTATTTTTTTCCAACACACCTATCTAACTTGGCAAAGGACGCAAACATTGTGGAGCAAAGCTCCTCTCAATGCCCATGGGGTCTCCATAGATCCAAGCGGGCAATCCTGAGCTGAACAGTGTCCGAGAGAAAACCACTAATATATACTAATATTATACCACTATCAAGACATATAAGATGCGATCCCGAGAAATTCAACAGAAAGCTTGTCTGAATGATGTCTCAAAAATTCGACTTGTTTCACCAAATAAAATGGGTTCGAGAGAACTGCCTGGCACTTATCAGACATGGCATTCTCCCTTCCCAGGACGGAAGGTGGCATGCCGTGTTCTCTGGACTGAGTCATGTCAGCCCAATAAAGTCCGAAGTAACACGTTCTCAGCCACGACAGCAGTTGTCCGCCTGTGTTTTTGTTGGCATGACCTCAGCGTCAGCATGATGACACTTCAAGAAGATACAAAAGAGTAGTCGCCCCCAAAATGACTACAAAATGTGGTGCTTCAAGATATTCCTATATATTCCCATATGTTCCTGGTAAATGTTGAATTAAAAAATTGAACTGGATGAGGTCAAAAAACAGACTCCTGGGATTCCAAAGAATGGCTCCCCCTTGTGCACGCACTTCTGGATTGGGAGTCGGGGAAGATCATGCAGGAGTGGCTCAAAGGTGAGATCCTTCCAAAAAGTCATTTTCTTCACGTCGTCCAAGTTCACATCGCTCAGCTGCCCATGCAAAATTCGTCGGATCAGAGAGTGGGATCCATGAGCATCAAATGTGACTGCACTAAGCAGGTTTCCACTTTCTTGAAGGATTTTTCCCATCAATTCCAACATAAAGTACGAGCCACGCAAGGTGCTTCCCGGTCCTGTGAAATTCGTTTCCACTGGAACACAGCACACACTCAGAGGAATTTTCCTCAAAGCTGCTGGGTCCCATACTACAGCCTCAAGCAGCGATGATGCTTTGACCACCTTGCCCACATCGATATCGTCATCAAGATTCAAGAAGCTTTGGTCCATGCCATCCGGACCCCATACTCCGCCCACCAGGCCCACTGAATTGTGGAGTTGCATTTGGGCCAGGGTTGTGGTCAAATACGTAGAGTCAAACGCCATCATCAAGCGACCTTGTGTGACATTTCTTGGTCAGGATCCTACAAAATGATTGGTTTTCCCAATTGGTCCTATAGAAAGTTGCAATCGGGGAGCCCAAAAATATAAAATCAATACAAAACACCCAACAAATTCTAACAAATATCTCATCTTTTCATGTTGCAACCAAAGATTGGCAATTTCCTTGAGCAAGTTCAGGAAGAATAGAATTGATTAAAATGGATTAAAATGGTGCATTCCAAACCACAAACATGCCTACAAAATGCAATTCTGCACATACAAGCCTACAAAATGATCAGGGCCCTAAATCAACTAATCTGTGCATAATCACCCCCCATCGTGCTCCTACAAAATGCAGGCCCTGGATCTGAGAAAAGAACATCGGCATCTCTGTACACCAAGCTGAGAAAAACCATATTTGTCTACTATTTTTTTTCCATTCAAACTCTCTACATAAAGTTGTTCATTTGTTAACATTTTGGCCTCCAGCCAGACCAAGACCCAGGACACAAGAAAGCTATCACCGAATCACTCAGTGGGTGGTGTCCCAGAATAAAGTTTAAACACATTGCAACACATGTTGGGCTTCCGTTTTGGGAACCTGTTTTGCGACCATGCTTTGATACTAGATAACTTCCTGAGAATGAGCCAAGGAACGCTGTGGAGCAGATTCTGGCTTTGGAAATCGTTGGTCGCAGAGAATGAAGTTCTCTTTGAGAACTTCTGGATGCCGCACTGCAAGTGAAGGGGTGGGCAAGCTCTGGGCATTCAAATCCTCGACGTGGACCTTGCATAGTCTCGATGAAATGCCGAACTCCTTTGCAAGGATATGGTTGCCACAGGCCATTGCCAGCTGTTGCCCGGCATCGGCTACCAGTGCAGCCTCCCGCTCGGAGCAATTGCTCCGCCTTCCAGTCATGCACCAGATTCCACGAGAGGCTTTCTCCATCATCCTGGAGCATTGGAGTGTCAGTCCGCAGATAAGCGGGTGCCTGGATAAGTCACCCTTTATGGCACTACAGGCCACCTTCAAGCGGATGACATCTTCCTCTCCAGCCTCACTTCCTCGCAGAATCGCTGTAAAACGAGCAACGGTGTCTTGCAAATTGGAAGGAATGTTCCCAACATTGATGCCCAAAGTTGGCTTCACAACTGTGGACATGAAGAGCTTGTAGCGGTCGGTTCCTCCACCATCAGATGCACAGCTGAGTCTGACCCATTGCTGCAGCCGGTGTGTCTCCAGTTGCATGATTTCCTTGAGCTTTGTGTCATTCTGCTTGTAGAGGGTGGTGCTTTTGATCTCAGCAAGGACGTCATCCACTCCTGCCTCATTCTGAAACATCCGGGCACTGAGTAGTTGAGCTGCATAGTACTTTCGTGTGAACCGGATTGGAGAGCGCACAACCTGGGCTGTGAGGTCAAATCACTTCCAACAGAAAATATTCCACATAAATAGTCCCTACAAAATACCTTTCTTTCACAAAGATCGTACAAAATGATACAAAATGACTGGGGCATACTAGAGCGATGACAAAACGACATCGGCCAAAACGACATCGAATCCAAAACCAAGAGACACTATGTGCAGCTCCCAAGGCAAGACAAGCTGAGCAAACATGCCTTTCCATTTCTTCGCTTTCAAGCGTCTGCTTCTCACAATCAGAGGATTTGACAATCCATGTTCCAGCATTGGCATCATGGAAGTATGTGTGTCGGGCACACGACTTGAAGTTGGCCACCGACGCCCAAAGAGCAAATTCATTGCGATAGACCCAAAGTCTCCCTGCAGTCTCTGCATCTTCGATGGATAAGCCTTGGCAGTCAACCTTCTGCTTCTCTTTGACAAGTTCCACTCTTTGCATCTTCTTGACATTCCTGTCGTGAGTAGGACATCCGGTATGCTGAGTCAAGAAGTGCTTCACGGAACCAAGTCTCATCTCAACCAAGTCTCCCACACGTCCTTGTGGTTGACTGCGGCTGGTGCATGCGATGCATCGATATGGCTGCTTTTTTCCAAAAGATCCTGCAGGAAGAAGCTGGATCCAAGGCTCGAACTGCTTGAGGAATTTCATGCATGCTTCTGGGCCATTGTCTTCAGATTCCTCCCCATCCTGCTCATCTCCCTTTTGGTTCTTTCTGGCTCCCTTCCTCTTTTTGCTGATCGTTGGTTCCTTGCCTTCATTGTCAACTGCCTCCTTGAACCTGTCCTTTGGATCCCTCTGTCCGGCAAGAACTTGCTCAGTGGCTTCTTTCAAATCTTCATGACTGAACTTGTGGTTGGCCAACATGGACTTGCATCCCTCGCATTCCAACTTCTCTTTTGCAAGTAGCTTGGCTTGCAAACGAACAAAACCACCTTCTCCACATCTACTGGTTTTCTTCATTGGCGCAAACCTGCCAGCATTCGAGACCACAAACATGCCTACAAAATGCAATGCTGCACATACAAGCCTACAAAATGACCAGGGCCCTAAATCAACTAATCTGTGCATAATCACCCCCCATCGTGCTCCTACAAAATGCAGGCCCTGGATCTGAGAAAAGAACATCGGCATCTCTGCACACCAAGCTGAGAAAAACCATATTTGTCTACTATTTTTTTTCCATTCAAACTCTCTACATAAAGTTGTTCATTTGTTAACATTTTGGCTTCCAGCCAGACCAAGACCCAGGACACAAGAAAGCTACAAGTTCTCCTCGCCTGCTGTGCACGCGCTGGAAGAGCGGCCATGTGATGCCAATGTCGGTCAAGTACATCTTGACAGCTTGAATGTACTTCTGACTCTCACTTTTCCCTTTCTTCCAGCAAGTTCTTTTGTGAGACCTCCTGGTGATTCCTCTGTTCATCTCCTGCATCAACCCCATCGAAGGGAGCACATAAGAGCACAACTCAGTGAAAACAGTTGTAAAATTGATAATTGTAAAAATTGAACCATGTTTTTGAACACAATGTCCTCCTCATCCTCTTCCATATCACCATCTTCCAGTGGAAGTTGCCCAACATCTAACTCATGTGCACCATCTTTGGAACCAGGTGCGCCATCTGTGGGAGGCTCTGAATCTATCTGCACCAAGGATCCAAGGTTCCGTCTCTTGGCCCCTCTCAACTTCGTGTCCACTTCCTGCGGCTGCCCAAACTGAACTCCTCTGCAACCTTTCACTCGTTTGGGACCCTTACCTTTTGCAGGTGTTGCTGGTGAAGAAGGGTCGGCTTTCTTCTTCTTCGGTGGTGTCGACGGATCTGCACTTGTTGCTGGCTGCGATCCACTGGGTCCTGCCCCATCAGCAGATGGCTTGGGTGCTGGAGCCGGTTGGGCAGCTGAGGCTGGCTTGGCACCAGATCCACTTGACTCACATCCACTGACCCCTGCTGCAGCTGAGGCTGGCTTGGCACCAGATCCACTTGACTCACATCCACTGACCCCTGCTGCAGCTGAGGCTGGCTGGGCACCAGATTCACAGACTCCTGGGGCTTGTTTGTCCGGCAACTTTTTCTGCTCAGGCACCTCATCTTGCAATCCCATCATGACGAAGATCAACTGCCACCGTGGATCATCTCGATGTTGCAACCACAGCTGGGCAATTTCCTTCGGCAAGTCCAGGAGGAACATTCCAAACCACAAACATGCCTACAAAATGCAATGCTGCACATACAAGCCTACAAAATGACCAGGGCCCTAAATCAACTAATCTGTGCATAATCACCCCCCATCGTGCTCCTACAAAATGCAGGCCCTGGATCTGAGAAAAGAACATCGGCATCTCTGCACACCAAGCTGAGAAAAACCATATTTGTCTACCATTTTTTTTTTCATTCAAACTCTCTACATAAAGTTGTTCATTTGTTAACATTTTGGCCTCCAGCCAGACCAAGACCCAGGACACAAGAAAGCTATCACCGAATCACTGAACCCCTGGCAATTGGCCAATGTCCTTTCGCAATGCCATTGTCTTCTCCTTTGTTGATGTGGTTGTTCGGATAAAGCACCCAGCATGCAATGCGCAAAGCGTCCACAGAGCGCAATTGCCATCGCCTGGAACCTCACATGGAAGGAAGCCCAACCCAATGACCGAGTCGATGAAGCCCTGCTTGCGCTTCCAAAGTTCCAATTGGTCCTTAAGAGACTCAAGAAACTCGTCATCTGACTCATCCTGCGTCATCTCTTTCAACCTTCTTTCACAGCTCCCAACGCGCTTTCTGACTTTGTCCTCCATGGTACATCAATGCAAATTAAAAATCAACAATAAATAGTAGTATATACAAATAGTAGTATATGTACATATATAACACAATTTCCTTTGAAAGGGGTCCTCCGGGTGAAAGGGGTTATATATATATGGGTGTGTGTGTCTTCACAAAACGCAGGCCCATGTCTTTCCAGGCACAAGATGCATGGCAGTCCTGCAAGCCTTGCACTGCAGTCTGCCACTCCTCCCCCAGCTGAACCTTGGGATATGCTGGCATGAAGTGATTGAGATTCCAGAAGTTGCCGCGCTTGAAGTCGCACCTCACGGCTGCTGTGATCCACAGCGTTGGGGAATTCATGTCCATTTGCTCATTTACCTCGAACTTCCCAGTGCCAGGATTGGACTCCAAGAGCTCGTTGAAAATCTGCAGCAGGGGACGTACAATTGGATCACCTCCTGTCTCATCGTCCCAGAAGAGGATGAGCATGTCCTTTTGCCTGGCCATGCACAACATCGCAAGCTCAGGCAACCCCAAGAAGACAGCTTTCTGGGCAATGTGATCTGCATAGAGGGCCTTATTCGAGAAAGGAACCCCAAATAAGGGGACAACGTGTACCAAAGCGATTCCAAGACAGCCATGACCTGGTACCCAACAGTTTATGACAAACTAAATCATCGAAATCAGATCAAGTTGGTTTAATATCCCAGAAAAATCCTTCCCAAACAAAAGAATCCAATGATCTTCAAGGGCAATGAAAATGGATGAAAACATATCAAAGATGATGAAAGCAGAATCTAGCATTCCAAGTAGCAATCTTTTGACTGACCGATGGATCAGCTTGAATCCCAGTTTCTGCCGGCTCCACCTTTACGTTCATCTTTGGTGCATCAGCCACCTCATCAGCATCAGCAAGATCAAATAAAGCAGCCCCATCATACAGATGCTGCTTCGTACGTGCACCATCCGTCTGCTCCTGAGATGCACTATCATCGGATCTTTTTCTAAAAATCCTGCTTGGTCAAAAAAAAGTATTGTCTATAAAATGCGCTGCCTCCCTTGGCAACTTACAATATGACCAGTCCCACAGTGGCCCCTTCACATGATCCCGCAAAAGGTCAAGACACCTGGCCACCGTCAGATACAGGGGCAGCAGGCATGTTCACATCCTTCGACTCCGGGGGCGCAGCTTCGCTTTGTTCCTGAGGTGTTCCCAACAAATTTTGACAGCAGAATCTACCAAGCAAAAATCAAGAATTGGAAAAGACTTGGATTTACATCATGAGACCCCCCCTGCTCTCAACATCCTGCAGCATAAAAAAAAATATGAAAAAATCAGGGCTATAAAATGCAATGCCTCCCTTGGTAACTTACAACATGACCAGTCCCAGAAGGCCCCACTACAGGTCAAGACACCTCACCACCGCCAGGTACAGCGGCAGCAGGCATGTTCACATCCTTCGGCTCCGAATGCGCAGCTTGGCTCTTTTCCTGAGATGCTGCTGACAGATTTTGACAGCAGAATCTACCAAACCAAAATCAAGAAATGGGATAGACTTGGATTAGCATCATGAGACCCTGCTCTCAACATCCTGCAGCATAAACAAAAACTAAAATGCATTGCCTCCCTTGGTGACTTCCAACATGACCAGTCCCAGAAGGCCCCACTACGGGTCAAGATACCTCACCACCGTCAGGTACAGCGACAGCAGGCATGTTCACATCCTTCAGCTCTGAAGGCGCAGCTCGGCTCTTTTCCTGAGATGCTGCTGACAGATTTTGACAGCAGAATCTACCCAACAAAGACTTGAGAGGGGGGGGACGAAAGGTAGGGGGGGGCAAAAGAGAGCAACAGGAAAAATATTGCCAAACTGAGATTGATACTTCTCTTCACTCAAACCTCCTGCAGAAGAAAATGTTAGCCCCCAAAAAAGCTTTGTGGGAATAGAATCAGAAACATAATGTCAAATGTAAAGTAACTTCACGCGCGCGCGCGCGAGCGCACGCATGTGCGGGACGTAAACATTGCGAGTCTCTATTCCCCGGCACGGCCTCAATGGGACTAGAACATCCACGATAGATCGATAGATCAATACATCGATAGATAGATAGATAGATAGATAGATAAAACTATAAATAAATAAATAGATGAATAAATAGATAGAGAGATAGAAGCATCGATCGATAAATAGATAGATCGATGGCTACCTTGATCGATAAACAGATAGATAAATAGATAGATCAATAGGTAGATAGATAGATAGATAGATCCAAGGATAGATAGATAAATACATACATAGATGGACAACTAGATAGACAGATATATCGATAGATAGATGGATAAGGAGGTAGGTACAGAGTCAGAGAAAAAGAGAGAGAAAAAAATGCGGACCAGGGGGGAATCGAATGGGGGGGGAGGGGGGGGGCCCCCCCCCCTAAGTCTCCGTTCGTGACTCTCGGCTTTCAATTTCCGGGAAAGGAGCAGCCACCTCCCCCAGTACTAAACTAGTACTAAAGTACATAGAACTCAGGTAGCCTAGGCTACCTTTCGTGATAAAGAATTGGAATAGACTTGGATTAGCATCATGTGACCCTGCTCTCAACATCCTGCAGTATTAAAAAAATCAGGGCTATAAAATGCAATGCCTAGCTTGGTAACTTACAACATGACCAGTCCCAGAAGGCCCCACTAAAGGTCAAGACACCTCACCACCGCCAGGTACAGCGACAGCAGGCATGTTCACATCCGTCGGCTCCGAATGCGCAGCTTGGCTCTTTTCCTGAGATGCTGCTGGCAGATTTGGACAGAAGAATCTACCCAACAAAGATAAAGAATTGGATAAGAATTGGAATAGACTTGGATTAGCATCATGTGACCCTGCTCTCAACATCCTGCAGTATAAAAAAAAATCAGGGCTATAAAATGCAATGCCTCCCTTGGTAACTTACAACATGACTAGTCCCAGAAGGCCCCACTACAGGTCAAGACACCTGGCCACCGTCAGGTACAGCGACAGCAGGCATGTTCACATCCTTCGGCTCCGAATGCGCAGCTTGGCTCTTTTCCTGAGATGCTGCTGACAAATTTTGGCAGAAGAATCTACCCAACAAAGATAAAGAATTGGATAAGAACTGGAATAGACTTGGATTAGCATCATGTGACCCTGCTCTCAACATCCTGCAGTATAAAAAAAAAAAATCAGGGCTATAAAATGCAATGCCTAGCTTGGTAACTTACAACATGACCAGTCCCAGAAGGCCCCACTAAAGGTCAAGACACCTCACCACCGCCAGGTACAGCGACAGCAGGCATGTTCACATCCGTCGGCTCCGAATGCGCAGCTTGGCTCTTTTCCTGAGATGCTGCTGACAAATTTTGGCAGAAGAATCTACCAAACCAAAATCAAGAATTGGGATAGAGGTGGATTATCTTAGATCAACATCATCAGAGCCATCTCTGAATATCCTGCAGCATAAACAAAAATCAGGGCTATAAAATGCAATGCCTCCCTTGGTAACTTACAACGTGACTAGTCCCAGAAGGCCCCACTACAGGTCAAGACACCTCACCACCGTCAGGTACAGCGACAGCAGGCATGTTCACATCCTTCGGCTCCGAATGCGCAGCTTGGCTCTTTTCCTGAGATGCTGCTGACAAATTTTGGCAGAAGAATCTACCCAACAAAGATAAAGAATTGAATAAGAATTGGAATAGACTTGGATTAGCATCATGTGACCCTGCTCTCAACATCCTGCAGTATAAAAAAAAAACAGGGCTATAAAATGCAATGCCTAGCTTGGTAACTTACAACATGACCAGCCCCAGAAGGCCCCACTAAAGGTCAAGACACCTCACCACCGTCAGGTACAGCGACAGCAGGCATGTTCACATCCGTCGGCTCCGAATGCGCAGCTTGGCTCTTTTCCTGAGATGCTGCTGGCAGATTTTGACAGAAGAGTCTGTCAAACACATTTTGAAAATTAGAAAGGGATAGAAAGGGCATGGAAAGGCATAATCGAACAATTTTCTCAACATCCTGCGGCATCGACAAAAACATGTCTACAAACTGCGCTGCCCCCCTTGGTAACTTACAGCATGACCAGTCCCATAAGGTCGCACTCATGGTCAAGACACCTCGCCATCAAG